AAGCGACGATATCAACACACGCTAAAAAACGCAAAGGCTCATGGGTAGATGCTTGTTTGTAAACAATGACACGATATGGCCATCTGACGCATACGCAGGTGACGACTCCCGCTTTAAAACTTCGAAACAATAAAGAAATGAATAACACTGAAAAATAAAAAAGTTACATTTACCAATTACAAGATTCACTAGCAATTAACATACGATGTTTATTTATTATACTAAAAATATGGGTGCTGCTGTCTTATTTCAAGGCAGTGCTTAGTAAATTGTGTCACATTGATCTGTGTTACAAATTGACTTTGACCTGTCAACTTACTGAATTCAGTTATCTGTTTGAACATAACCTCTACTAAAAGACTTTCTATGTTGCACATACTTTGGACATCTCTCTCTCATCTATCCTTTTTGTGCCTCCCCTGACCTCATTCAAAGTTCTCCATCCATCCACCCCACTTTCTTTCTTTTTTCAGTGCTCTCCTCCATGTTGTTTTAGGCCTGCCCATCTCCCTTTTTCCATATGGACATCATGATTATTAGATGGAATTCATCTTCAATTTCCTCTATATTACGTCACACGTTCAACTGATGTTTCTTTAATTTGTTTTGTGTGAAATTTAAAGTTTAAGTTATGATTTTGTAATTTAAATTTGCTTTTGATAGCTGTTCAATATTGTCAATGTATGTTGTATATAGTTTTAAATCTTTCCGTATGTCTTTGATTGTGTTTCGTTAGTGGGTGGGCAAGTTGTCTGTAGTCAATACGCAGTTGTGATATTTAATATGTTCAGTGGAATTCTGTACAATTCCTACTACATCTATTCATCTATTCTGGTGTTTTGCAGATTGTGCGAAGTGGGAATGTAACTTTACTTAATAACAATATGTGATCCTTAATATTTATTACTATTACGAATGTTTTGGTCAAAAGAATACATTATTATGTACAACAAACACAACAACCAACAATTATAATCAAATACTTTAAATACAAACCGCAGTAGGTCAAAACAAAAGAAAAAAATTCTGTTAAATTTGTTTTTGAAATAGACGCGGGCGTATTTGATAAATTATTTTTCTTAAAAAAAATCATGAAAACTTTCTTTCTTTCATATTTTATATTTATTTCATATTTTCTAAAATTCTTACAAAAAACTTTTAAAAAAATGTTTTGCGTACGTGTTTTGGCGTACGCGATGGTCAAATCATATAATGTTTAGCTCCGTGGTTTAACTATAGGAGGTTTTTATGTTTTTTCCCGAGAAATTTATATTCCAAAATTTATTTATTGGTTGTACATTCCTATAGCCATGTACGCACAAGTAATGTACGTGTTTTTGTGTTTGTTTTATAGCCTTGCGATGAACTAACACAAACGAAGTTATTAATATTCTTGTCTATAGAGGGCGATGTTCAAACCTCCATTTTGTTTACTTGTTTCGTGTTGTGTCGTGGCTCGATGGTCTCTGCGATTTATGACACAGATCTCTCATCGGAGTCGGATTTTAGGCGTATGTATACTGCCTACATTTCTGATAGTGATATTGGTTACATCGGAGCAAGATTATTTCTATACAGTACAAGCAGGCATATTGTATGAAGGTTTGTAACTCGAAGCACAATTCTGATGGAGTTGGTGTATGGTGTAACACGTGTGACATGAACGGGTCATTCCAGTTTTTGTCCACACCCCCCCCCCCCTACGGATGGGTTAAATCTCAGACTTGTATTACTAGTCTGAGGTTAAATCCGAGGGGTCATATTTCTACAAAAAGTATGGATGGTCCAATTCCAAGAGGTGTCATTTTTTGACTATTTTTTTTCTATATCCACACCCCTACAGATGATTTAATTCCGAGGGGGGGGGGGGTCATATTTTTAATATTTTTTTTTTTCATATCATGCACACTCCATGAAGTGAATCCATGCGGTCGTAATTTTTAAGCTTCCAAGGGGTAGGTTTGTAAAAAAAAAACTGTCAGCCAAAAGAGACCTGGGGGGAGGGTGTACGCCCTTTTAAAATGCATGCAGTCATACGTGGCTGTACCCCTGCTCGCAAACTGTTTTAATCCAAAGAAAATCTATTATTCTACGACTGTGCCAATCAAGCCCACACAAACATATCAGTCGCAACTTAAGAATAAAGATTAAACCAATGTGTTGGGGCAAATAATTCATGTGTATACTTGATACATTCATTTAGTCTGACTTACTTGTACATTTCAGTTGTTCTCAAATTTCATTGGCATCCATGAACTGGAATAGTTCACATTATAAATTAAAATAAACTCAACTCGACATGTGGCTATACATCGGACAT